TGGGGTCGGCCAAGGCACGTGCATGACTGTGACATGGTATTGGGGGACTGTGCCCTTGCACTGAAGTTCTGGTGGATTTCTGCCTACCAAACCACTTGGCACTAACCCCCAACCACGCGGCGGGTGTAAGTCAGGGCCATAAAGCTGAACACCTTGGAAACGTTATCCTAACAGTTCTGATGAAACTTTGCATGTCTAAGAAGTGGTTTGTTTGATTTGGCCGGAGCATCTTTCTTTGCTGAGAATTCAAGCATCGAAGCTGCTTTTTATACGCTCTCCCCTGCTCCCCGCAATCCATGCTGCAGTGTTCCTGGGTTTTCTGTCGGGCACGGCCTGCCTGCTTCTTCCACCTCCCAGCCCTCTCCTGCACGGGAAGACCTAGCGTGCTCACCTCCACAGCTCGGGCCCTGCAAGATAATGGGTTTCATACCACTCGCTCCGGCTCCCTGATGCCCTGAGCCCACCTGCAGGCCTGGCTTTGCCGTGGGGCTGTGCTGGCCGTGTGTCTGGACTGCCCCAACAGGGCTCCCAGCACGGCAGGACAAGGAGGCTGGGTGCCGTGGAGCCCGAGGTCTTCTCCCTGGACACCCAGACCCTGAGCCAGGCCCTCCTGAAGGAGGCAGTCAGAGAGAAAGAACTGCCACTGAGGACCAGAAAGGCCAAGGTGACAAGGAGGGACCAATCACAAAAGCCCATGGGGTTATCTGAAAATAGATGCTAGGAGAATTGATGAAAGCTGCTCGGCAGAGAGCAGAGCCTGGAAGGAAACACAGGAAAATGTGACCAGAGCTTGTCTCTGCGTGGGAGAAAGGATGAATAATTTTTCCCTTATGTGCATTTTTCTGTATTTTCCAAATTTTCTATAGTGAGCATATGTTGCTTTCATGATCAGAAAAGGACTATATTACTGATATGATTATATATATTATAAGTCAAATAGATATAATTCATTATGAGAATGAAATGAATTATTGTTAATAGTTATGAGATTAATATAAACAACCATCATCGTGTATTGCCAGAACAGTTATTAAGATGGTAGCAGTTGTTCTTGTGTCTCTAGCACATCCCCCTTCAGAGAAACTTTCAAATAGAAAATGAAACTGGGCATCTCTGCTATGCAAATATTGGTGGCTGTTGTCATATTCCTGCAACAGCCCTTGACAGTGGGCTGGTCTGGGTGCTGTTCTCACTTTAAATCCGGGGAGCTGAGGCTTGGAAGAATAAAGGGAACAGCCCCAGGACTTGAACAGAGCCCTTGGGTCACCCATGTCCCTACTGTAGTTCCCAGGCCGTTTCCCTTGGGGATCCAATGTATTTCCTGTTGTCCCCAATCTTTTAAATTTTTTTCCACTATTAGAGGTGGTACCAGCAGCCAGGGTGGAACTGTAATTCATGAAGAATGCGTTGGTTTGCTTTAAAAGAATGGTATTCTTTTCTTTTATGGTGCGGGTCCCTAAACCACTCGAGGGGCACCGTCCGGCTTGTGGGTCATGCTGGGAGGTGGCCCGGCTGCCTGTGACAGTTTCTCAGCCAGGCAGGGACTCTTTTCCACATGATGACATTGGAACTGAATGCCACATTCCTCCTTGGAAGAAAAAATTATGTATAGGGCAAGAACTCAGGACATGTGTGTGGAAGAATCTCTGTGGTACCAGCCCAGCCTGGAAGAACTCTTAGGCCAGAAACACCCCTTTTCTGACCTTATTTTTGAAAACTGGGCCATTTCCAGCCCCTAATAACGGAGGGGGACCAATCTCCAAATTCAATGTACTTGATCTTAAGTATCTTTCTTTAAAAGTGAGTTAAAAGGCAAACTAGCATGCTGTTGTCTACTCTAAAAGGCAATTTCTAAATTTGGATTAAAAAAAAAATTGTACTCTAGCTTGAAAATCCAGTGGCTCTCAGAATGCAAGTGAGATACACCACTCTTTGTGCTAAAATCATCTTAAGCAGTTTAAAATAAATCAAAACAAAATGATGTGAGCAGAGCATATGTCTCCCATCCCTTGTTTTCTGAAGGCCGAGTGGGCCGGGCTGCCTAGCACAGACCGGTTCCGTCCGAGAGCCGCCTGGGCCCGGATCCTGGCAGTCAATGATTTTAACAGAAGGCCACAATGTCTCCTGGACCAACGAGACCTAGGTCTTTTACTTTCCAAAGATGGCCTCAGTTCTAGACAAGGACTAAATTATGAAATAAATCATTCCAGAAGATAATCAACAGGTAAGATTAATAAATTGAGACATTTATTTCCTCCAAGAAAAATGTCTGGCACTTGGAATTTCTAAGCTGCAAGTAGATGCACACATTTTCAAAAGATCTTTCTTTTCCTTCGCTTCCTCACACCGGGCACAGCAAAACATCCCTGCCTTCTAAAATAAAAACACATGCCACTTTAATTTAGCAAAGAAAAGCCAGAATGCAGAATCTTTGCAGAGATTTTTTTTTTAATTAAAAAGAGAGACTGACAACTTCATTTTATACCTTTTCAGGGGAAGTTACTTCCTCCCCATCGGTCAATAATTTAATGTCAAATCGCGGCAAAACAGCGAATTCCATCTCTGAGGCTCTAGAAGCTCAATCTAGGAGAGATTTTAATTGTAACCCTAAACAGCAAATGCTGACATTTGTCTTGCTTTCAGATAGTCTCCAGACTGGGCCAGAACATGACTAATTTATTTTATCTTATCCATTTATCTAGGCACAGGATTAAAATATTTATATCAGTCTGTTCACTTTAAAATGTGCAGTTACAGACACCAGCTTCAGGGCCACTCCTTAATTTTTCACAGTTTTGGCTTTTCATTGTTTCCAGAAATGCACAGTCCTTGAATGGCGAATACTTGCAAATGCTGATGAAATCTTTAAGTGGGGAGCTTCTAACTAATATGAAAACCTCCTTTCTCAGGCTGCATGGACGCTGCCCAGCCACGGTGACAGAGCTGTTCCAACGCCTGCTTCCTGAGACAGGCCCGTGAAATCATGCAGGCTTGAGCCCGGCTTCTAGAAGGAGCACGCCTCTGGCCAGGGTGGCTGGTGGAAACCAGAGCCTGGCCAAGGGAGCCCCGGCCAGGCTGCCAGGTAGGCAGCAGGCGGCAGGGGGTTAATGTGGGGAGCGGGCAGGGGTGGGGTGGGAAGCCAGCTGGGGAAATGGGGGCTGCAGGGCCCAGCCCGACCAGGCGCAGACACAGGGGGCTCTGTCTGCCTGCCCGCTGCCCTGGCACTGTGACTAACCGCCCCACTATTGTGAGTCTGAAGTCAGCCCTTTGTGTCGTCCCCTGGCGTCTGGGAGCACAGCCGAAGAACCCTTTCCAGCAGCCCCCCTCATTCTGGAACCTGCAGCCCCAACATCCATTCTTTCAGCTCTCAGGGTTGCTGGGGGCCGATGAACCAGTGGAAGCATCCCTTTCCCTGGCCAGGAAGGGCCACCAGCAAAAAAAGAAGCAGAAAACCAGTCTCCTCTACTCTGGGTGGGGAAGTAGGGGGCACAGGGACCTACTAAACCTGCATGCCTGCCACGGCAGCCCCTTCTCCACCTGCAGCAACTGAGCCATTGAAATGGGGAGAGGCCAAATCGAATATGGAAAATATGGCAAAATATCCCATTCACAGTTTCATACAAGCAACACATTGAAATAGGATTTTGGAAATTTATGTTAGATTAAAATGAATTTTAGTACTAAAGTGAATCTCACCTGCTTATTTTTACTTTCCAAAAATGTGGTTATTAGAAGATGTTAAATTACAGATGTGGCTTGCATTTGTGGCTCGCGTTGTTTTGTGTGAGCTCATGGGTTTGGGGGCACTGGGACCTTGAAGGCTGCCTTCTCCTAGGGAGACAATGGCACTCCCCACCCATCATTGTCAGGAATACAAGGCCCTCGCAGCCACACTGTCTCCTGACCCTGGCCTTGCATTCCCCTGTTTTGAGAATTGGGACTTACACACGCAGGTGTCTGGGAACCCTTTGTCAAACACTGGCATGCACACGGGTATGCCTGCACACCCACATGCACATACATGGACACGCACAGACACACACAGCCCTGGCTCCTGTCCGCCGCAGGCTGGAGCAACCTTTCCCGGCTAGCCTTCATGGAGGTCAGATTCACAGGGCACCCAGATGCTCCTAACCCCACCCCTGGACCCAGACATCCGACCCTTTGTCCTGGGACAGACAGGACCAACCCAGGCCACACCTGCCTTTCATGGGCCAGGGCACTTTCGGCTTCCTGGTTCCCTTCCTCCAGGAATACTAAAAATTCTATTTTATGACTGCATCAGATTAAAGACCAATATAACCAGGTCGAATTCATTATCATATATTCATTATTTTTATAGTCGTTTTTTCTTATGATTTTAAAAGAAATTAAAATGAAAACATTTCATGGACCCTAGGCTCTGTGCCTTGTGGGCATGTGGGCCCAGACCATCCCTCTGAGATCCCTTGCCTAAACCCATGCCCCTGAGTCTCACCCAGTGAGGAGCACAGGGGGCTTGCCTGCCATTTGTCCGGTGACCAGATACCTTGTGAACTCATTCCTTAAGTCCTGCCTTGAATGTACAGTGTGTGAAGTCCTCACCAGATGCCAGAAAACGTTCCACATTATTTATAAAACAGAAATTAGTCAAGAGGAAGGCCTGGGATGCCAGTGTGGTTGAAGGCCCCAAGTCAGTGGGCCCCAAGTCAGGGGGCCCCAAGACCCCCACCCAGTACAGGGCTGGGGTCTCCAATCAGGGACTTGGACACCAAGTTTAACACCAAGAGGAGGCCAGCAAACAGGCGTGCTGCCCTGGGTAGTGACTGGTACCGTGAGGTGCAGCCTCCGAAGGCACCAGGCCCTTCCGCCTCCCATCCTCCACCCCTGCTGCAGGTGCTGCGGGGCCCCCGTTCTGGATGGAGGTGCAGAGGAGGCTGGGCTTTCCGGCGTCCCCCAGAACCGGTATCGGCTGCTCTGGCCTTTCCCTTCCCAGGGTGCCTCGGCGCCGGGCCAGGGCCCAAACCCTGCTCAGGAAGGAGGGCCGGTGCAGGAGATGGTTAAAATTCTGCATCCTTTTTGCATCCGCCTCCAGAGGAAGCGCTGCTTTTTTTTCGCCCCCCCCCCCACCCCCGAAGCAGGAGGAGGGGGGAAAAAAGCTGAGAGCAGCAATTTGCAGGCCTTGGGATGTTTTTCTCCTTGACAGCCCCGGGCCCCGCCTCGCTCCGGCCCTTCCTCCGACTGCGCGCGGCTGGCCCTGTGGCCACGGCTCGGCTCAGTGTCTGCCGCTCCTGCCTGGCCCCCTGCACACGCGTCCTCCGCTGGGAGCCCAGGCCAGCCCCAGCCGGCAGGGAGGCCGGCTGGGGGCAGGCAGGCAGCGATGCCCGCGTCGGCCGCAGCTGCCTGGCACTGCCCTCCTTTGTGCCTGCCTCCTCTGCCAGCCTCCGCTCCAACCCCCCACCCCCACGAGGCCTGCTCCTGGGCCCGGCCGCAGGGCCTGCTGCCCGCAGAGCTCCCACCCTGCGCCCACTTGGGGTGCCCTCACCTTCTGGGCCCCCGGCTCCTGGCCTCAGGTCCTGCTGGTGCCCAGGTCGCCCGGCCCCGTCCTCCGTGCTCTGCGTTCGCCCCACCCTGCTGCCCGAGCTCGGCGGCGAGCCTGGCACCGTGCCAGGCTGCCTGGGAGCCCAGCCCGGGCAGGGCGAACTTTCCGGCGAGGGTGTGTATGGGGGGGTAGCTGCGGGGTGAGGGTGGTGCCAGGGGAGGGAGAGGGCCCCAGGTGCCTGGTGGCCGGCCCCCGGCCCCCAGCCCCCAGTCCCAGGCCGGCCTGCGGGGGCCTCCCCTGCCTCCTGTCTCCCGAGTCCCACAGAGGCGCAGACAACATGAGCGCTTGAGTCCCAGCAGCCATGTGCAGGAGCCGGCAAACAAACAAAAGCCCTTATTTATTTATTTAGTTCACACACCCAGATAAGGAGGCGCCTTTTGTGCACATAATTTCACACACATCAGAACGGAGGCGATGCCACGGTACTCCCCACAGCCCAAGAGCCCCGGACAGCCGCCCGGCCCTCATGAATAATTGCATCGCCTCGGCCTGGGCATTTCCATATTTAAATTGGGCAGCAGCGTATGATTAATTAAGAAGGAAAAAGGCAAAAAGGAAGAAAAGCAGTGGGGGTGGGGAGCCGGACACTCTGGGCAGCGTAATGTGCCAAGGTGCCCGCGGCTGCTTAACTCCTCCCATGCCAGGCCTGAGGGAGAGGCCACAGCAGGGGTTGGGAAGGGAGGCTCCCGAGACCCTCGGCCTGGAGGGCAGCATGCCCTTTGCTGCCATCCTGTGTCGAGTGCCACCCCAGCCTCACATGCTGCCTGGGGAAGGTTCTCTTCCTCCTGTTCATATTCTGGGCAGCTCACCATTGCTCAGGTCAAAATGTGCCATGCCAGTGCTGGGGAAAGAGACACACCGAGGCCCCTGAGTGGGGCACTTCCAGTGGAGACTGACTTGTCCTTTGCCCTGCACAGCTTCACCCCACACCCCTGCCACATGCAAGCTGCAGTGCTGCCCTGCCTGGGGAGGCTCTGCGACCCCTACACATTCTCACAAGCCTCCTCCTCCAAAGGGCTGTTCCATGGCTCTTCTGGCCCTGAAAGCAGCCGGCCTGTTCCGGGAACGGGGCAGGAAGGCCTGCCCCCCTTCTAGAAAGATTCTTGGCTAAGTGAGTGCCAGAGAAGACTATATTCCTAAGGCAAGAAGTGGCCCTGGATTTAGAGTCTGGCCATCACCAAGGTTTGGCCCTATCCTTTGCCAACTGTGTGACCTGAGGCAGGTTATCTGGCCTTTCTGGGCCTCGGTCTGCCTGGCTGCAAAATGGGAATGATATGAATGCCCACTATTCCTGCCCCGTGGGGTCCAGGTGAGCAAGAGTGGCTCCTGGTTGGCAGCGAGCCTGCCTGAGTTCCCAGAACCCTTATCCTTGTGGTGGGCTGAAGTTGGAGCCAGAACAAGTCCAGATAGACCCAGGACCATGCAGCTCTGCCCCTGCTGAGGCCCCAGGACAGTGGTCAGAAATTTGCTGAGAAAATAATCTGAATTCTTGTGACCAAGAGTGTCCTAGGGCCACCAGGCCTGGCTTGGTTGTGGGGGGCCCATCTGCCCTTGAGTGTACACAGGGGTGCGTGGAGTGGAAGGGCTCTGGGGCAGGACCAGCTGCCCAGCAAGAGCCTCCTAGGTGTCCTCTGGGGTCTGGGCAGCATTATTATCACCCCCCTTTACAGCTGGGGGAACTCGGGCACAGAGCGGTCAGGAGCATACCTGAGATCACACCAAAGTGGGGGCCCTGGGATTTAAGAGCAACCCAGCTCCCGTCCCAAGGCTTTTCTTTTCTTTTTTTTGAGATGGGGTCTTGCTCTGTTGCCCCTGCTGGAGTGCAGTGGCATGATCATAGCTCACTGCAGCCTCAACCTCTCATGCTCAAGTTATCCTCCTGCCTCAGCCACCAAGTAGCTGGGACTACAGGCATGTGCCACCATGCCCAGCTAATTTTTGTTTAACCTTTGTTGCTCAGGTTGGTCTCAAACTCCTGGGCTCATGTCTTCCTGCCTCGGCCTCCCAATGTGCTGGAATTACAGGTATGAGCTACTGTACTCAGCCCAAACCCAGGGCTCTTAACCACCCTACTATGCACTGTGCTGGCCCCCAGTCAAGGGAGAGAATTCACGTCAGGAAAAAATGTTTTACAGAGAGGCAGCTAAGTCTGTTCCACAATGGATGACACAGTCCCCCTCACAAACCATCCCACAGATCGAACCCCAAGGAACTCTGCTCCTATATGTGCCCATGGGGCAAGGGATGCAAAACACCAGGCAAAGGAGCTCAGAGGATGGCACTCTTCCAGAGAGCTGTGTGTCTCTGGGAAAACTAACACACCTCTCTGAGCCTGTTGCTACAGCTTTACCATCAGTGATGTGACTGCAGGTCTTCTCGGCTGCCTGTCAGCGGATGCACAGGCCTGTGCACAGGGCTCCACAGGGACCATGCCGACATCACTGCACACCCACCCTCCTGCTCATAGGACAGCCCATTCACACCTGCTTCTCCACCAGCCACAGGCTTCTTGGGAGGAGCAGACTCTTCTCCACGGACAAGCCACTGCCCCTTTGAGGGCCTCAACTTCCTTACCTATGAGATGAGGAAACAAATCTGCACTAAGGAAACAAATCTGCACTTCCCATGGGACTTGGGGGGTGAAAAGGTAACCTCCGTAAAGCGGCCCCTGGTGTGGGGAACCACCCAATAGATGACAGTCCCTCCCGCCTTCCCCCTAGGCCCAGAGCTCCGCAGAGTCCTCAAGTCGGTGTCCCTCCAGGCCAAAACGCTGCCACCCCCTGGTTAGTGCACTACAGGGTGGTGGGGAAGGGGGGCATCTGTGGAAGAAAACACAGGACTTGGCCTGGGGTCCTGGGCAAGACCTCTGTGACCTCAGTTTCCCCGGATCCCTCCAGGTGTGACCTTGTAGACGGCCTCTGTTCTGGACTCACAGCTGCTGAGGACGAGGAAGAGGACACTGCAGGCTTCCTTCAGTCCCCTGGGGAGGTTCAGATGCTCTGACTCCCTGATACCACCTTTGCTGGGCAGAATAATGTCCCCAAGATGTCCGAGCCCTAATCCCTGGAACCTGGGAAAGTGTTACCGCACTAGACCAAAGGGACTTTGCAGGTGTGTGATTGAGTTAAAAATCTGCAGTGGGAGGATAGCTTGGATTAGCCACGTGCACCCAATCTAGTCACACAAAACCTTAAAAGCAGAGACTCCTTCCCTGCTGTGGTCAGAGACAGAACGAGGGGACGCTGCTGGCTTTAAAGATGGAAGAAGGGAGGAGGAGCCAAGGAGCAGGTGCCGCCAGAGGCCAGAAAAGGCAAGGTATGGATTTTTCCCCTGGAGTTCCAGGAGGAACTAGCCCTGCCAACACCTGGATTTTAGCCCTGGGAGCCCCACCTCAGACATCTGACCCCCTTGACTGTAAGGTAATAAATGTGTGTTGCTTAAGCCACTAAGTCAGCCAGAAGTTGTTACATGGCTGCCACAGGAAACTAACAGGCCCTCCCCTCTGGCCCGGACATGCCCAGCTGCCTGTGAAGGGGAAGAAGGACACAGCCCTCATCGATGTGTTCACACACCTTGCTCCCCTGCTGGGCTGGCCCTGGGGCTGCAGACTTGATCCCTGCTCTCAGGAGCCTTCGCCAGCTGGGAGATGCCCGCAGAGCCTCCCTTCCTGCTGCTGCTGCCCCGTCCTCTCCTCTTCCTCCTGCTGCTGTTTGTTGAGTGCTCCCTGTGAGCAGGCACCAGGCTAGCGTCCTCCTCCCCACCCCGGCCTGACAGGCTCAGTGGTCAGGCCACCCGAGCAGCCACATTGTGGACCCCCGAATCCTGCCCATGGTTTGGCAGGACAAAGGGTCTTTTCTGCTTGAGAGTCAGGAATGTGTCCTCCTCACAATAAGGGCAGCATGGAGTTTCCCTGGGCCAGTGCCTCAGCCCATTGAGCCTGGGGTCCTTGTCTGTACCTGGGGATGAAGGTAGCACCTCACAGATGGCGATCAACACAGCCAGTGCAGGGCAGGCAGTCAGCGCTCCAGACTCACTTCGAGTCTTTGACTACGCTGCCAGTCAAGTCAGTTGTGGGAAAAGTCAGGTTTTTCTCTTGAAAGTCAGGGCCGGGTGCAGTGGCTCATGCCTGTAATCCCAGCACTTTGGGAGGCTGAGGTGGATAGATCACAAGGTCAGGAGATCGAGACTATCCTGGCTAACATGGTAAAACCGTGTCTCTACTAAAAATACAAAAAATTAGCCGGGCATGGTGGCACGTGCCTGTAGTCCCAGCTACTTCGGAGGCTGAGGCAGGAGAATCACTTGAACCCAGGAGGCAGAGGTTGCAGTGAGCTGAGGTAGTGCCACTGCACTCCAGCCCTGGATGACAGTAAAACTCTATCTCAAAAAAAAAAAAAAAAAAAAGAAAAAGAAAGAAAGATGCCAGGGCTGTGGTGTGGGATCATCACTGCATGAGGCATGGGGGCTGAGGTACTTGGGCAAGGGGGTTTTTCAGAGACCACCCCAAGAGGGTTCTGGAGCCAAAATATCACCCCTAATGACTTAACTGGGAGTCCCACCACTAAAGCTGGTTTCATCCCCCTAGGAAGTAATCAGAAAAGTGCAGACAAATGTTCCCAGAAGTGTTGCCTATAATGGGGAAAACTGGAAATAACTGGGAAGAACCCAACGGCCTGATAATAAGGGGTTAGTTAAGGACTTCTGTCCAGTGGAATGCTAAATAGTCATCAAAATTCATTTGCAGGACTGTATCTTCTGACTTAGGAAAATATTGTGATAAAGTATTAATGAAACAAGCAGAAGATAAAATGATACACCTAATAAGATGCTAATTTTGCTTAAAATATATTTTGACAGACTAGGTGCAGTGGCTCACATCTGTAATCCCAGCACTGTGGAAAGCTGAGGCAGGTGGATCACCTGAGGTCAGGAATTCGAGACCACTCTGGCCAACATAGTGAAACCCCATCTCTACTAAAAATTAGCCAGGCATGGTGGTGGGCGCCTGTAATCCCAGCCACCTGGGAGACTGAGTCAGGAGAATCGCTTGAACCCAGGAAGGAGAGGTTGCAGTGAGCCGAGATGGGAGGGTGCACCACTGCACTCCAGTCTAGGTGACAGGCAGGGCTCATCTCAAAAAAAAAAAAAAAAAAGTTTTGGCAGAGCTGGTGAGGCCTTTCAGTAGCTATCTCTGGGTGTGGTTTCCTGAGTGATTGAAAAATGTTTTCTTTTGCTTGAGGACTCAAGATGTTCCCTAAGAGTGTATGGAACATCAATGATGGCAAAAAAAAAAAAAAAAAAAAAAGAGATGGCAAGAGGAAGTTGTACTCCTTCCTTGACTGCCTTGGTCCCTCCCTGGGGCCTCAGCATGTGGCTTAAAAATGTTTTTCTTTTGTGAGGACTCAAAGTGTTCTAAAATTAGCATGGAACATCAATGATGGCAAAAAAAAAAAAAAAAAAAAAAGAATGGCAAAGAGGAGAAGTTGTACTCCTTCACTGAAACTGCCTTTGGTCCCTCCCTGGGCCTCAGCATGTGGCACGAACACGTGTGAGGGGCAGGGCTGGCTTTGTGGGTTTGTGACCTGTACCACCACACGGGGCCCTGAGCTTAGGAAGGCCCTGCACTCGGAAGGGCCCCAAGCTCATTTTAATGCGCACCATCGTCACCATCTTGTAACTCTCAGGCATTTTCAAACCAGGGCGCCACATTTTCACCTTACCCGGGTCCTGCAAACTCTATAGCCGATCCTGGCGAGGAACCCTGGGCCTCAGAGCACCTTGACCTTTCTCTCCAGTTTCCTGAATACAGCAGCCAGCTTTCTGGAGTAGGTTTATTTCCCATGCGGTGACTCCTTATATTTTGTCCAGGCTTTCCAAAATCAGGGACCCAAGGACACTAACCTCGGAAAATCGAAGCATATATTGGCTGTCCCCTGGGACAGTGGCTGCCTTGTTAGGAGGTGGGTGTGGTCACCAGCACAGCCCTGGCATTGCTAAATGGGCTGTTGGCAAAAAGAGGAAACAGGGCTCTGTTCTGTAAAAACATGCATGAGCATTTGCAGTGCTTTTTCTGGAGACTGAAATCTCTCTGTACACCTCACCACATTTTCAGAAATATCTTAGGAGGTATGTGTTTTCTCCAGTAAAACCTGGTGCCTCTGACTCAGGGGCACTGTCTGTGGACTTGCCCTGCATCTCTTTCTACCAGTTAAGGCTCAAGGATGCCTGGGTGACCCTGTCCTACAGCTTCTCCAGCCACACTGCCAGATAGGTGGTGAGCTGCCTGTCTCTGGAGGCATTCAACAAAGGCTGCACAGGAAACACCTTCTCTGGCATTAGCCTAGAGAAGCTCACCTGAGGGTGTCACTGCACAGGGCATCTGGCAGCTTCTAAGGCAGCACCTTGTCGTCTTACCTCTCTGTGCCTAGTACTCCATACAGGAGTATAGGTGTGGGGGAGGTGTTCGGTGACTGTTTCCTTTAGGGTATGGAAATAAGCACCAGAAGGTGGTGAGGCAAGCGATGCAAAGTTGACATGAGATGCAGGAGAGAAATTCCTGAGCTGCCCAGAAGCAGGTGATATGTGAGAGAAGCCAGCAGCCACTGATGCTGAGTGCCTGCTGTGTGCTAGCGGAGTGCTCCATGTTCCAGGAATTGTCACTATTCTCCCAACAATGCAACTGAGATAGAATTCTTTTTATACTCTTTTTTTTTTTTTTTTTTTTTTTTAAGACAGAGTTTTGCTCTGTCACCCAGGCTGGGGTGCAGTGGCACAACCTCGGCTCACTGCAACCTCTGCCTCCCGGGTTCAAGCGATTCTCCTGCCTCAGGCTCCTGAGTAGCTGGGACTACAGGTGTGTGCCACCACACCTAGCTAATTGTTGTAGTTTTAGTAGAGATGGGGTTTCACCATGTTGGCCAGGCTGGTCTCGAACTCCTGACCTCATGATCTGTCTGCCTTGGCCTCCCAAAGTGCTGGAGTTACAGATGTGAGTTCTGCCTAGCCGGCAGAACTCTTATTAAGCTCATTTTATGAGTGAGGAAACTGAGGCCTAGAGAGGTGAGGTTACCCAGCTAGAATGAGGTCACGCTGGCAGTCGGAGGCAGGCATGCCTCAGTGCAGAACTGCCCTATAAGCCCAGGCTTTTCGGCATGCTGCGGCTCCACTGCCTGGGACATGAAGAAAGTCCAAGTTCAGGTTCACTCTCTGCATCCTGTCTTTCCTTCATTATACCCTGATTGAATGGACAGAAAAGCTCCCCTAAAGGGTTTGGGGATGGAGCAGGTCAGGTTCCTCATTTTAGGGAGATTTTAACTTTAAATGGGCTCAAGCAAGGGTTAGTTACCTGGACAGCTCATGCCTGTGGAGGCCGACCCTCCCCATGGTGCTGGATCTGTAAGAAACAGGCTCTCCTGCCTCCCTGCTCCCCAGATCCATGGGGCCTCCTGCTCAAATCTCGGGCTGGGGCCAGGGTCACTAAGAGATCTGCCTTCCTTTGAACACTAACCAGTTCAGGCGTACACAGGAGTTGCAAACTCGGGGTGGGGGCATGGGTTGTGTTCAACCCGAGACTGTTTCCTCTGTCCTGCAATGTGTTCAAATGTTGGACATTTCATGTACAAATCTGGATTTCTTCTGAAGTCAGAAGCTCGGACAGCCCCAGCCCTTATCCTCATGGTAGCAACAGGCTGGAGCTGACTGAGCACTCCGTCCCCTGCCATCACTGCAAACCCCCTCTGTGCCCCAGCTGACACCTGCAGCTGCCCTGTGACAGCCCTGCCCGAGAGTCCAGGGACATGGTGGGCTGACCCGCTCAGACTCTGGCTGGCCAGCCCTCTTGGCTTGGGTGCTCCCCTAAGGAGGACTTTGGGAGCCGTAGGCACCCAGGGATGGAGGCAAGTTAGCAACAGTCTCTGGAAGGCTGAGGACCTGGCCATCGTGGGTAGCAAGACCTGATAGGTGGTCCCTGCTGTGGTTGGGGACACCTGATCAAACTGGGAGGCTTGTGGAGGCCCAGGCCCAGGACAGCTCTGTGAGTTTCCAGGGCTTTGCCACCACCCACTGGTGGGGTAGGTTTCTACCCCAGAAGTGCCCCCCAGGGATCAGAACACTCACAGGGACAGAGGCCTTGTCTCAGGCAGACAGAGGGGCATGCAGAGAAGCTAGCTGGAGGTATGGGCTGGGCCTGTTGCAGGCAGGAATTGGGGTGGCAGCAGAGTCCCCCACCTGCTCCCCAAGGAACAGGCCCTACAGGGCCCCAGCTTCTCCTCCTCCCCAGCTATCCATGGCTGTCCTGTGACCCAGCACCTGCCAGGCTCACTTGGCACTGTGGTTGCCCCAAGCAGAGCCAACAGGACAGTTGGTGACCAGGGTGTCTTGCTCAGAAGGGTCACCCAGGACGGCTAAGAGAAGTCACTCAGAATGGTACGGAGGGTGGGGGGGATCAGGAGCAACTTCCATCTGAGCCCCAGGACCCAAGCATTGCAGCCGTGAGGGGCTTGCCTCCTTGTGCTGTCGGGGGTCCCTCATCCCACAGGCCCTCACCTCCTGTGGTGTCCCTGGGCAGCTTGACCTCGGAGGGTCAACACCTGAGGACCGGAGGGGCATCCATGCCCCCTCCTCCTTCCCTCCAGCCAAAGGTGGGGGGCAAAGCGCAGGGAAGAAAACAGCAGGAGAAAACCAGAGAGCTCTCCTTTCCTTTTTAAGAGCCCTGATGGCAGCAACCCAGAGCCCGAGGGGAGAGAAAATGTCGGGAACGATTCCCTTCCGAACTTTCCCAGTCTTTGTTTGGAAGGCTGGGAGCTGACTTCGCCGGGCCGGGCCGCGGGCTCAGCCGTGCGCTCCCGTGCAGCGGCCGAGGAGCCCTGGCGCCCGCCGCCCCGGACACGCCCTCGTGGTCGAGCCACGGACCCCGACCCAGACCCCAGCGCCGCCGGGCGAGGGCGGGAGGGGTAGCGCTTACCAGATCGTCCCGAGCGCGCCGCGGTCCAGGCGGGCACAGCGACGGTCAAGTTCACGTCCGGCCCGCGGGCTGCCCGAGGTCCCCGGGCGCGGCTGGGGCAGCGGGAGGCGCGGGAGGCCGAGGTCCCGGGTGGCCGCCGCGGCCGCTCCCGAGACGCTGCTGTCACCCCGGCCGCGCCCCCCAACTTTCTGCACAGTCGCGGAGCTGGAAGTTTCCGGGCTTCGC